TGTAAAGCATCTGATTTTCTAAAATGAAAGCTTCCCCTCCCCCTAACTAGAAACCTTTCCCTTCTTTAAATAAGCATTCTGGCATTTCCTATTGTCAGATGTAATTACCTTTAAGGACTAAAAAGATTTGTGTGTACACAGGAGCATTCACTTTGAGCACACCTACAAGGTTTGCAGAGCATTTTAATTATAAAATGAAAACCCCCAGAGGGCAGATATAACATTTCTACAAAAAAGTAGAAATCCATCAATTGCAATAAACAAGAATGACAGACTAATCAAAAACTCTCATTAGGGCTATCAGTTAAAAACTCCAAAACGGGTTTTTTGGTTATTAAAAAAAAAAAGAAAGAAAAGATAGAAAGAAAAGAAAACCAGCAGACTGCCAGTAATTCATTAAAATTTCACACATGAAATAGCAACGAGCTAGTTATCCTTTTCATAAGTTGAGTACCTAAAGCCTCTGGAGGACACAGAAAGGTAATTGCATTTTCTCTGCAACTCCAGGGCAGAGATTTGCTGGTCACTCACAGCTTCCGCCAGAAACCACAGCAGATCTGGTGGGAAAGGACATGCTTTCTTTTAATACCAATTAAACAGGCTCAGTGGCAGACCTAATGGTAGGTAATTTCTATATCAAAGAAACTGAAAGGAAATCTTTAAGTTGCCAGATGGGTAAAAGCAGCTGGCTACAAGATGTCATTATATGAATGTGAGGTTTGAAAAAAAAAAACAATCATTCCTTTATGGGATTATGTTGCACGCAAATAGCATCTTTCACCCTAGTTCCTAAAAATATTGTAAGAAGCTTAAGATATTCTCTAATCCCTCCTAGAGTATTTTTCTAATAAACTCGTCATCCAGGACTCTGCACCCTCTTCACATTCCTAACCACCTGAACAGGCCACACCATTCTCCTGATGGTCAGGACTTTAGGAAGAGGCCTAACAAATAGGATCTCTCAAATGAAATGCTAACTCCTGAGCTCCTGCTGTAGCGATCATGAATCTGAGAGGGAGGCCAGCACCTTCTACATATTTAATGCCCAGAGCGAACTGTGTTCCAACCACGGAGGCCGAACAGCTTCACAAGGCCCGCGATCAGACTCGAGGTTACAGATTTAGCTAGTTAGGGAACCAAGCCTGCTGGCCTGGCAGGTTTTAAATTTGGAGAACAAATCTGCTTTAGAGACTGCTGACTTTTCCATGCCTTCCTAGTCTGCGATGAAGTAATTTTTTTTGCATGACTTCAGCAGATGGGGTAAATCTACATCTACTCTGTTATTTAACATGATATTTAATTATTCAAGAAACGCTGCAGATACGCCATATTCTCATGTCATTTCCTTGCATTCCTGAGACCTGGATTTTTAGGGCCCCTATATTATCAATTTTCAAAGGGTAAAATTCAAAGACATATCAGAGAAGAGGGCCTACAAAAAGACTGACCTGGCAGTGAAAGGAACTATGGACCCACACCCACCCCCTTCGGCATCATGCCCTTGGTCCTTCGACCCTCTCTCCCCATCCTATCATCAAGACTCTTCTTGATGATGGATTGGGGGGAATGGGGCAGCGGTCAACTGGGAGCCGTAATTCACTCTGAATCCAATTACCTAAATCTATACCCATTTACAGGACTGTTCAGGTCTTTTCGATATATGTGATCGAGAAGCAACAGAGCTGGAAAAAAAAATCTTATTTCTGACAACTACCTACTCTATCTATCTGTCCTTAAACAAGTAAGCTGAACAAATTTCCATGAGGCTAAAGTTGCCAGCAGAGCCTCCAGATTTGAAGAAAGACTGTCACTCAAGTTCAGCCCACAAGATGTCACTAGTAGAATGTAGTGGACATGTGTTGTTTTTCAGCCACTTAACACCCATTCTCATAATAGCACCTCGACTTCCTTGTGAGGAATTATCCCCTCTCCAATGTGTGCACTCTTGGTCAGACGACACATCAGAGCGTCCTGTCCTGTCCTTCCCCAGCCAAGCACAGCATCAAATGCAGCGTCTCTCTTCTCTCCTGAGCCTCTAGACCTCAAACACAAAATGCAACGACAGGACAAACATTCAGAGGGAATTCACACCAGGCGTGGCCCCTTATAAGCCCTGTTGATTTGTTCCTTCCTGTTGCCTCTGTCTCTGGAGCAGCCCCAGCTTAGTTGGTCGAGACAGGTTCCTCGGCTATTCTTTTGGTTCTGCGAATTACTCATAGCCTTCTAAAGCTTTCTCTTTCTGTTTAAGCCGGGCAGGGTTAATTCCTGTGGCTTTCAAACCAAGGACCCTAACTAACACAGTGGGGAATGGAACCAGAGAGTGGGTGGCACTCCTCATGCCTCCTTTATAAAAACAAGGTGTGGCCTCCCTTTAAAAGCCACTATGTGCATGCCCTGAGCCTTCCTGCCTTAATGGCAACAGCAAAAATGAATTAAAGCATGGTGTGGTATATATATTATGAGTCACAGGCGATATTCTGAGAATCACTGTTCTACCCTGCCCAGAGGAGAAAGCTGCCAGGCGTGCATGCCGAAGTAGCTCATTAAGCTATGGGGTTGACAACTGGTATAGGTGCGGGGAGGGGCGAAGCCTATAGCCATGTAATAGCATAGTATTTCACAACTTTTAAATGACGTTGGACAGGGAATACTCTCTCCTGAGGTGTGTTACTGCTAACCGTATCAGACATACCTCCCCTCACTTACGTACATTATCTGCCTGGACCCAATTTGCCATTGAGATATATTATTTTACCTTTCCTACTGCTTTATATTCCTACCTCGTTCTATATAATAGCAAATAGGAAAAAGTACAAGCACGCGCGCGTGTGTGCACACATACACACACACATACACCTTTTTCCCTGTGACGCTCCTTCTCTCTAGCTTTCCTGTAACTGGAATTCAGCAGAGCAGCCTAACTTTTAAATTATAAACACAGTGAAAGGGAAGAAATCTCTTTCCTGGGGGGAGAACATACAACTGACAAGGCTCCTTTAACTTGCTCAGACCATAATGTGGAAATATCAGTACCCAGGAATAGTTGAGGTGAACTTACTGGCTGCCTCCTACAAGTTTAGAACCAATGTGTGTGTCAAATTTCAAAAGAAAGTTGGAAATATCCTGCCACTTGGTGAACAGCACTTCACCTTTCAAAACCCCAGCTCTCTAGCTGACACAAACCAGCCATGCCTTCATGACCACGAGGAATTAGGACTGATGCATGGCAACACCAGTGAAGAGCTCTCCGTCCCTTCTTTTCTGGTGTCGTACTTCTCACACTCATCTCACTGGCCTAAACACAAACCTCTAGGGCTATGTGAGGGCTGCACAGACAATGGAAAGAGAATGAATTTAGGAGTCAAGCCCCCAAGGTTCAGATCCCAGTTTTACCAAGGAGACTAAATCACCTTGGGCAAGTCTTTTAACCTGTCAAAACCACAAGGGCTATTTGAGGATTAAACACCCAGCCGAGGAACATAACAAAAAGCCTGGGGTTTTTGTTGCATGTGTGATGTACAGTTAATCCTCGATACAGACGTTCACTCGCAGCTGGTCAAGGGACCACTCCACCACATCTCCACCTACCTGAAATTTACATCACTAGTCCGTTTCTCTACATTTAAGAACTTTTGCTTCCAGAAAAATCACGTTTAAAATGCAGCTTGGGAGGAAAGGAGAGCACTTCCCCTATCATAGTCACTCGGAGATTACAGGAAGCTGATGTCTCTCAGGACTATCTTCCCTCTTCTCTTCTTCCTGATTCTCTCTATAGTCCATAGGGGATCACACCCCTATCTGTGCCTTCAGTTACTTCCTAAAGATGGATGCCACTCGAATTTCTCCCCCTAGTCCAGGAAGTCCTCTTAGCTCCAGATCCTCACGCTGAACTTCCTATCTGACGTTTTCACCTGGATGTTAAGCAGGCACCTCGCACTCACCTCGTCATCCCCTTTGTCTCCAGTCTGGTTCTTCTCCAGTGCTCTCTGCCTCAGTGCATGGTTCTGCCCTTCATCCAACTCAGCAAGCCAGAAAATTGACATTCACTCTATGGCCAACTCCTCACCAAGCTGTGCTGATTTCACCTCCTAAATACCTCCTGGTCCAACCATATCTCTTTCCAATGCCCTGTCTCTCTGTTCAATTACTGAAATATCATCCCTGGATGACCACACTAATTTCTGGCCCTCCTCCCACCCTCTCCAGTCCATTCTCCAACACAACTGACAGATCTTCAAAAATGCAAATCTTATCATATGATCTGCAGCTTAATTTCCTTGAATGGCTTTTCACTGCTTCCACATAATGACCAAAATCCCGAACGAGGACTGCATAGCCCTGCATGGGAAAGGCCTCCTACCCGTCCCGCCCATCTCAGGCCAGTGCTCCCGACCCTAGCTCTCCACACCGGCCTTCCTGTCCCTGCCCCTCAGGAGCCTTGTAAACGTAGCTGCCTCCACCTCCACCCCCACTTCCACCCTGAACTTCCTATCTCTCCCAACTTACTGCTTGTTTCTCTCAGATCTTATTCCCTGTGCCGCTTATTAGGAAAACCTTCACTGACTTTTAGATCAAGGTCAAGGCGCCCTGTCGTAATAACTTTTAGCACCTTATACATCCCCTTTTTGGTATGCAGCATAGACTACCATCACATGTTTACTGATTCTGACTGGAGTCTACCTCCCTCATCAGACAGTAAGCCCCATGAAGGCAGAGACCATGTCCTACTGCTCACCCTTTAATCTCCAGCACTGTATTTAAACATGTTTACTTAACATACATTTATGAAAACTCATCATGTCCCAGAACTCATACATTAGTGTCCCAAATTATGAAACTTAAGAGTTTCTGTAGGATCTCACTCTTTTGGGCACAGAAAACACTAGATCTGCAAGATGGACGAGGTAGGAGAAACAGTTAAAATGGTGCCAAGGGCAGGGTCCAAGAGCAGGGGGAGAGCACCCAAGAGATGCGAGGTATGAGCCGAGTCAGGCAAACAAAGCAGGGGCCGGCCCCGACTGAGGGGTGGAAAGCTGCAAGATTAGAGCTTGGCAAGGAAGAGAAAATAGAAAAAAACATGGTTATTTGCTCACTCCACAGTGTTTCTAAGCCAGCATCCCCTCCCTTTACCAAAAGGCTTTACTGAATGTTCCAGTCGCCCAGCAGAGAACTGACCCAAGAAGATCTCGGAAATAGAACAAAATTTCATACGGCTGCTCCCTGCCTCCCCACTCTCCTACTCCTGCCAAATGGCAAGGAACCATCCACCAGCCCCAGGTGCTGAATTATTCAATTATTCTAGCAGCTTTCAAAACACGTATGCAGCTAGAAAAATCTCCCGAAAAAGAAAAGAATCATGTTATTTAGGCTACTAGGTCATTTCTTGAACCTCCCTTGAATCCTGGTTTGCTTTTCAATTGAACAGAAGCTCATTGACACCCCACCCTTCCTAGCAACAAGCAGTGGCAAACATACAATCACAAGACGATCTGCTGCTAACTCTAAAGTTACAATCAGGCAGGCTAACTCCCAATCCCACACGGCAGCCCCCCAGGCTCCTACACTTACCCAAAACTGAGGTCTGCTGCAGCACCTTTAATAGATACCGAACACAACAGCAAAAATACGAAGAACCACCTCCAAATACCTACTATTGCCCTACGCACACACAAACCTGCCTGAAAATAAATAAATAAATAACATCTACCTCTGACTTCCGTCACAATGCTAAAACCACTGAAAGAATCAGCCTGCACTTCGATCTGGCAACCCCGCTTCAACGCCTCACCCACAACCCACCCACCCGCTGCATGTCAGCTCTCCGAGATATTTTCTTCCAGTAGAACAAACCAAGGAGAATGTTTTGGGGAAGAAAAGCTAGTCACGAAACAAGCCTTTAAGACTCCATTTTAGTACAGAGCTTCTTCAGGAGCCCTCTATTTCTGTATTTCTGGCTCTGAAGAAGCAGAGCATAAAGATGAGCTGAGTCAGAAAAAAAAAAAGCAAATATTTATCAGAGGTGACTTTTAACCCCACATCAATTATAAAACTCACATAAGAGAGAACGACCTTCTCTATTGAATCAAAGCAATCTGAACCACAGAGTCTCAGGTACTGCCCTCTAAAGCTCAAATATGGCTTCTAGAGAGCAAATTACTGGAAGAGGTAGAGGGGCATCTCCTTGAAAATAGATAAAGGCAACTTTGCAAATAATCACTTGCCCACACTAAGAATATATGTCAGCCAAGAGACAGGGCGCGGGTGGGGAGCTGTGCTAGGGAATGAGAAAAAATGTGCTTGTTCGCACAGGTTGTTACAAGGCAAGACCAAGCTCTGCCATCATCCCTATTTCCCAAGTGTCCCAGGATGCCGACAGTTGTAGGAAAAAGAAAGCGCACACTTATGCCTCGTTCTTCCTCACCATTTCTCCATCGGTTTAGCTCCATCTCCAGGTGCTGGATAACATTCTTCAAAGTCTTGTTTTTCTCTTTCTCTTTTTCATATTTCTTCTTCCATTCTTCCGCGGTCAGTTCCAGGTTCACAGAGACTGTATTCTTGATAGTTTTAGCCCTGGGGTTAAAAATATAAGAGAAAGAGTCTGAGCATAGCTATTAGCATTAGCTAAATCGTGAACATATTTAAGCCTCAGATTCCTTTCACATCAAAAGATTGGGACTAGAGGAGCAGGGGGTACCCTGTGACTTTTACCTTCCACCTTTCTAGCTGTATTAATGGTACTGCTACTCCGAAGGCTCCAAACTCACTTTTTCCTTTTCTCCTTTGTCTCTTTCTAGTCTCTAAATCCAATAGATTTTCGTCCGAATTGTCTCTCAGGGTCACCTCTTTATTCCTTGTCACCATCTTAGTCTGTGTTTTCAGCTCTGACTTATGGTTATAGCCTTTTTCAAACATTCAATATTCCACTTTAAGCATCTTCATACCACTGCCAGATTCCTCTTCCTAAGTAGAGTTTCCTTTCAATTCAATTAACATTTATGAAACATGGGATATAACAAGACAAATGAGACAAGGTCTCTGGCCTCTTAGAGCTTGCAGTTTCTCTTACCAATAAAACACACGGACTGAAATAATACAATCGTTTCTCTTACTCACATTTGGTCCCTAAAATCATCCCTGATGTGTCGAACACATGTCTACATAGCCTTCTGGGCCAGGCTAACCACATCAGCCTGGCCAGGTGAAACCATGGCTGCCTGCTGAGCACATGCTCACATCGCAGCCAAGGTTAACCTGGAAGCATGGAGGTCCACCGTTCTCAGGTCATCCCATTTTTTCAAAAAGAATCAGAAATCGAGATATTTACTTATATCACCTAGTTTAAAACAATTTTTAAAAATAATGTGTGAGACAAACAAATGTACCTAATGGCCACCAATTTTCCATTTCTAGTATAAAAACAGAGTGACCTCCTAGTGTGTATGGCTAGGGTAGGGGAGTGATGCCACTGTGGATGCTTGTACAGTAACTCAAGGGAGACTGGAGATGGCAGAGGCAGCTGCAGCTCTAGCCAATACTAAAAACAAAAAGACATGACTCACCTAGCTATGCACAGAAGTAAACACATAAGCACACCTGTCTAATTAAACAGTAAATTGACCATGGCAGAATTCGACTTATTACTTACTTTTTAAGAAGGTAAAAACTTCATTTAAAAATATGTGCAACCCTGTTTTGTTTGCAATTGACTTTTCCATTTTAAACTCCCACTGGTTCTTGTACTGTCATATTTGCTAGCACTATCTGATGTGTGATTCAGGTTAATTACTGTTGTCATCGGATGACATTTTGGACAGGATTTCTATTTCAGTGAAAGAAATTTAGCAGTCTTTACCAGTCCTTACTGCTACAGATGTCATTCTAAAAATTAATTCCTAAAGCAGACAACTAAATAACCCAACTGTCAAAAGAGGAGTTAAACGATTTCAGTGTAAGACTCCACTTAAGAATTAGTATAATTCTCCCTCGTTCACTATAGCTTGAGGCTGCTGTCCCCAGAAGTGCTTCGACTAATTTTTCAAATAGCAGCAATTTTATTACTACTTTAAAGTCTATGCCAGGTTGACACTCTCACCTCACCTTCTAACATCCTCAGGCGGTGTTGTGGATGTCTCTCAGATACAAGCACAAACACTGCAGCACCCGTTATCAACTTAGTACTCAGAAACTGGAAAAGAGCCTACAGCTAAATTTGCTTATGGACATTTAAGGGTACACTTTGAGGCTACTAATCTTAAAAAGAAAAACAGAGCCTCTGTCCTGTACTCAGGCAGGTTTAGTCAGAAGTACATTTTTGTGAGCAGACTCAGCAAGGTGTAACTGGTCCTCATTCTCAAAGTTCTTTTAAGCTGTCCAGTAAATTATTTTTCTTCCACTTCTGTAGTAATCAAAGTCCTGGCAATAAACAGATGACCCATTCAAATTGCATAATTTGGGAAGAGTTTAACAAAGGTATGAGAAGAGTATTGGGAAATAACAAGAGATAATGCGTATCCCATATTGGCAATGGGGGGCAGCTATGACCAACCTTCCACTGAAGGGCGCCCAGAGGGAGGGAGCTAAAAGAAGAAGGCTGCCCACTGGGAGCACTCAGAG